CCACAGGCAACCACAATACTAGGAACAAATTGAGCTACTTACTGTGGGATGTCCCAAGTTGACACGAAAGTTATACTAAGATGGCGACACAAGATCTTCCTATGACGGGGATGTGAGGATCTCAATTTTCAGAGAGAGTTTATGCACACGGTAACCATTTCGATTGACATGCACTCATGTGATAGGTGTTAAGGTATGCTCTTATGTTACTAGACAGTGAGACGCTCTCATGATGATACTCGAAAAAGAGTAGAGTGACTGTTCAGACCATAGAAGCCATATATAGACCAGTGAGTAAAAGAGTGACTCGAGAAGGATCGCAACACTGAAATGCTTTACATGGAACTTGACACCACATAGGTAAACTTTATGACAGAGCATGCATAGGCACAAATGAGCAGATATTGTCCATTTAAATAAAAAGATCATGTAAGAAATTTATCAGGCATAGTCACTTGTTGAGAATTTAGGAAAGTAAGTGGAAAGTGTTAATCCTAGAGTTATAACTCAATTCAAGGACATAATTATAGAACTTAATTCCACAAGAGTATGTAAATAAGAGAATTTGTGATAGAGTGGATTCACGAATAATACGTCTTGTTCACGGAGTAGGTACATGCAATGTTTTGTGAATCAGCATCTTATTACGACCATGTTCATGAGAACTCTTCAATATGGGTGCACCTATACAAAAAGGAAATCGTGCGGTGTTCATAATGATATAGCAAAGAGTGACTTACTTGGTAACATTATATTAGTGGGGCAGTGCCTTAACTGATGCACCCTCACTCCACACCTGTAATATACATTGGTAACATACTGATATACTACATGATCCGGTGGTGCAGTGACATTAATAGGAACAAGGGTACTCCACTTAGCAACAAGTTCTACCAATCCCTCTATGGCTCAATACATTCTTCTAACAAACTCTTGGTCAATCTCCCTTAGATTCAATGGTGGGGTCATTCCCTCCTTACTGCTTCAAACTCGTGGATTATGGTTTCAAGATTACTCATCTTGAGAGTAAGACATAGTGAGGAAATTAGCTGCATATCTTGGGTTCTACTGCACGATCTGGAGTATCAAAGAACGGTGAAATTTTTTAATGTCCAAATAGCCTCCAACTTATAGATGTGGTCGACAACACACCAATAAGAAGGACTCTACTAGACACTACTCTGAGACATCCTAGGACACTTTAAAACCTTAGGCTCTGATACCAAGTTTGTCACGCCCCAAAAATTGAGGAGCACGATCGGTGCTCAACCGAGTAAACTCGAATGAGCAAGCCTGTTAGGTTTCATTCTACCCAAAATAACTCATGAATAAATAGGAGATGGAGTCCATTAATCATACTTTGTAAGTATTTCATTAACAATATCCATTTTATTTCCATCAACAGCTTAATTCATAATTACCAAAATATTACAAGTTTTATAAATCTTTGCCAAATATCAAGATTTCTAACTCAATTCCCCATTATCAAATACCACCCACAACCTGTCTATGGAGCCTCTAAATACAACTGAAGAGTAACATGAAAATACCGGCAATAAGGCTCCGGCTATACCTCAAAATACAAAGTACATGATAAACAATTGATACAGGACCCCGAAATGAAGTGGGGCTCACCATGTCAGCTGAAAGGAAGATGCGTCACTAACTGCGACCACCACTGCCTGCTAGGGAACCACCTAACCATTTAAAGACGTAGCGCCCCCGGAAAAAGGGATGTTAGTGCCATAAAATAGCACTAGTATGTATAAATAAACATCATCTCATTAGAAAGAACAACCATACAAGAACAAAGAAATCACAATGATTCAACAAAAGCTTTAAACAATCACCACATCATCAAATAAAAGGAATCACATAGCTTTCACATAATTTCCATAGCTTTAGTTTGGGGCATTTAATATTGTTCATCATCATTCACAATACCACCGATTTCTTGAGCGGATTCCGATCACGACCCGATCGGCTAGGTTGCCTCATTTGAGACATGTACCTCAATCACAATCTCATTCTCACTTTCAGAATTCAATATCACCACAATACCACCATGTGTGCGGCATGGCGTCCGATCACGGCCCGATCGGCTAGGACGCCTTACCAAGGCATTGTTACTTTCTCATTAATCATCTCACTTCAATCTTCATTTCACATATATCAAATAGGCACTTCGGGCCACAATTATTTCATCAAATGTGGAATTAGGCCACATTTCATAACTCACATTCCACATCACTTTCACTTTCAACATCAAACTTGCAATTTAAGATAATAGGCACATACAAGAGAAATTCAAGTTGTAAACATAGAGAGGAATTCTCATGATTCGGCATAATAATCACAATTTAAACTTGACTTGAAATCTAGGCAATTTAGCATATGGTTCATATTCTTCACATATCCCCAATTTACCAAGAATAGCACATTGAACACATTGAGACACACCTTTCATATATATTCTTGCAACACCAAATCCTTTGAAATAACAAATACTACATAAATCAAATTCCGGACTTACAACATCTGCGGGGACACCATGGGAGCTCAATTTCTAAGAAAGGGAGGTTTTAACCATACATACCTTGTTTAAGCTTTTCTTAAGTTTCTACAATCCGCCAACACCTCTAGCAATAACAATCTATAAGGAGAAAGCAAAATAAATTAATAATTTAGAAGGATTTTCCATGGTATAACTCTCTTAGGAATTTCATCAAACACCCAATAATGTGAAATAGACTACAAGGTTCTACAATGGAAATTCCTTCTTTCCTCATCCAATTTCATCAAGAACTACCCAAAATAGTTCATTAATCCCACATACTATAGCTTAGTGCCACATGCATGGCCTATTTCTAACCCCACAATATATTTTTGAACTCATAATCTCATATATGAAATATTAGAAGTAGGACTTACCCCGAAGATAGTGAGCTAGAGATTAGCATGCTTGATTCTTGAGGGTTTGTGCAAGATTGATGATTAAGAGACTAGGTTCCCTCTTTCTCTCTCTAAAATGCTCACACCTCTCTCTAGATTTAGTGTAAAATGGTCTCAAATCAAGCCCCAAAGCTTATTTAGCAAAGTGGGTTCGGATATGAAAATTTTCAAAAATGGCCCCCGAAGTCAAATATGTGGTGCAATTATGCTATAGCATAATCGAAATGTGGGCAGCATTCTTGCAGCATAATCGACAACTATATCGAATATGCTACAGCATAATCAACATGCGACATCATAACGTTTTTCCCGACACTGCTTCATTATGCGACGCATATGCGGTTCGCATAGTCGTTTTACGATCGCAAAATTGGTCGCAAATCTAGCCTTTGGTAATTTGATCATAACTTTGTGTAGGAATGTCGAAATGATGAACGGTTTGAAGCTTTAGAAAATAGACTTGAAGACCTTTCATTTGATTGATTGTTCACCACATAAAACATTATATATATTTAGATATGCTAGTCCAAAATTAGGACTTGTGCGAACTCATTTGGAATTTTAGCTTAGTATGAAATTTTCCAATTTGACTTAGACTTAGGCCTCACATTAGAGCCCACATTACATATTATAAGACTTATACACTTATTTACCAAATTCAATTGATGTCTATCATGTTAATAGTACATAAAATATTATAATTAGCCTGCCTGGCACCACGAAATCCTAAATTACTTGGCTTTTGAGGCCTTACACTTTTCAATTCAAGACTTTAGATACACATGTGAGCAATTAAGAGTCTTAAGCATATAGAGATTTTTCACATAATTTGGCATGAAAACCTTTATTCAAACTTGACTTGAAGTCGTAACATTTATAACGCACAACCCACACTTTGAATATATCCTCAAATGATAGGATAGCAGGATAAAAGCATTTGGAACATATATTGAACATATATCTTTCAACACAAGTTTACTCGGAACAGCCAATTTTACAATGATCAACTCGAGTCTTGACTAACTTACATGAACACCATGGAATTCAATTCTAAGAAAGGAATTTAGCCAACATACCTCATTTGGGCTTTCTTAAAATCTAAAATATTCCGAAATTCTTAGAAACTTTAATATATTTTAGAAATATAACTAATTGAACTAAATTTAAGGAGATGATCATGGTTCTAGCTCATTTGAGCATTCTATCAAACACTAGATGTGCATTAAGGTTTCAAGACTCTTTTTATGGAGATTCCATCATCCTATAATCCATTCTTTACCATTTTTAGTTCACAATCTTTCTACACCCTTTGTTAACACATGCATGCAAAATAAACAACTTTCACACCCAAGAATTGTCTTGCTAATTACCTATTTTTAGATAAATTTTCGAAATTAAGAATTAGGGTGTAGAATCTTACCTCTAGGATAAAGACCTAGTGTGCTTTCCTTGATAATCTTCAAAGACTTAGGCAAGAATTGAAGAATAATTTGTTGAAGATCACTTTACCACTCTAGGACACTCTCTCTCACTCTAAAAGTATCAGATTTTTCTCAAGAATGGTCCATTGCATCTATTTTAACGAGGTAGGGTCGGGTTATAAAACCAAAAAAATAAGGCTCCGGAACAGGATCTGCGGTTGCATATGCAACCGCATAATGCTTCTGCGGTCCGCATCATTGGCCCTCCAGAACTGGCATTTCCTGCTTCACTCTACGACCAGTCTGCGGTCCGCAGACCTATTCTGCGGTCGCATAATGCGCCACAGAACCTCCATTACTACAAAAAAGGTCTTTGGCGGTAATTATTTAGCTGTAATAAGGTAATTATCGCTAATGAATTATTTAAGCTGAAATATTAGCAGCTCATGATCAATAGCCAGTAAAAGATATTCTTTTACCGATAATAAAAAAATTACCGCTAAAAAGCACTAATTGAAATTAACTTTTTTATTATGTTAACTTTTCCTCATACAAAAAAATTCCTTCCAATTTTTTTGGACAAGAAATTACATTCCCTCCGATTAGAAAAAAACAGGAAAACATATTCTCTTCAAAATTAAAGACGTACGCCAGTCGCCAATTTAAAGGTGAGGCACGCCGTAGCAAAACCTACATGCTTAACAATAATGTTGCAACAATCTCTGCTAGTCCGCCCTGCCACGGTCTCCGACCATCCCCAAGTAACTTCTGTTCTTACCCAGCAGGTTTCTTGAAATCGATTTACAATTGATTTTGGGTTGATGTTGCTCGAATATGCTCAATCGTCGCTGTCAATCTTCTCTTTCTCATCCGTTTCCAACTTCTCTTTTCGTGTAGGTTTCAAGATTGTTGCAGAAATAATTCTTCTCCTTTAATTTCTTGTCTATCGGCAAAAATTTCTGCTTACCAGGTACCAATTTCTAATTTTGATATCAAACTATGGTGTTTTGGGATTTGTGAAAGTATAGCTTTTTTGTGTTTGCTAAGTTTTTTGTGATATCTGCCTTCTGTTAGATTGATAGTTGATTGATTGAATTGATTCTTCCTCTGTTACTCTATTGTTGTTTATTTGTCTGCTGCTTTTTTGTTGTTTACTCTGATTGATAGTTGGCTGTGATATTTGCTGCCTTTTTTGTGTTTACAATTTCTGTTTTCTTGTCTTTGAATTGGTTCCTCTGTATTTTTCTAAGGTACTACTAGGCGGAACTAAGCAAATAAGATTCTGGGTTGTGGCCTCTCTATTTTTTGCCTTTTTTTAATCTTTCTTGAACCCTGCCCTTCCTGCTCATCTGAATTATTTTGGTCAGCGGACATGATTCTTTGTAAGAATCTGTTTGTTCTTGTTTTTGGCTTGAAAGAGGAATATGCATGAATCCCCAAATTTAGGTGTAAATGAGTATAATTTGCAAGAATATGTTTAATCTAGTATTTCTTCTACAGATTGGAGGAGGATTAATTTTTTAATCCCTAAATTCAGGAAATCACAGGAAGAGTATTACAGATATTAGATATTAGATCAATTTTATATCTCCATGAAATGCTTGCCTTTCATTCTGTGGAGTCTCTAGTATAGACGCTTCATATATAGTGACCAAGTGCTAGCGATAAGTCTCAAGAACTGGTGTTATTTTAGCATTCTAGATAAATACACTACATGGCTAAGCTCTAAATTATAGGATACCAACAATGCATCCTAACAATACAAGTATGGCAGTCCACTGCCGAAATATCCTTTTAGGCGTTGGATATTCCGTTAAAAATTTTAAGTGTATACACTTTATTTCTTTCTTGTCATGTTTGGTTTAAGTAGTCTTTAACTGAAACTTTAGATGGATAATTTTTTTTAAAATAATACACTAGGCAAGTGCCTAGGGCTAGTTTTTATGAATATCTAAAGCAAAACAAGCAAAAGTAGTGTAGAGTCTTACAAGATGTAAAGACATATGCTAAGGTAATTACATAGCCCCTATTACCAGAACTGAGCAAGGAATACTCAATCCTAATAGTACATTCTGAACTAATTAACCAATGATAAAGAAATATAATAATGTAGTAAGGTTCTTGAATAAAAACTAGCACTAAGCATGCCATGATAGAATCTGTATAACTCATTGCCCAGTAACTCTGTCTTCCGTGCATAATGTAGATCATGATCTATCCCATAATGTGTCCACCCTGCTGCATATAGTGAAGGAAAAGGCATAGAAGCAGAGCAGGTATCATGTAGGCGCTCGCACAAGCAGTTATTAGCATAGCATTTGTTGTAGGTGTAGTACTTGGCCTCCAGTTTTTGTATACATTTTCTGCTTGTAATCTTGATGTCTCAGCAGATACATCATACATGAAGGTATGATGTCCCTAACTGTAGATGTAGCTCGAATTTCTCCCATGTTGTATCCAAAATGTCCGCAATCATTGTCGAATAGGTGATCACGTCCTGTTTGCCATGAAGATCGAGTGTTCCCCAGCAGTATCTTTATGTAAAATTTATGTGGCACCATTCTTGGGATGTAGTATGAACAAAGTGAACTGGGTAATGACTTCCCAATACCTTCATTGTTCCCATTTTTAGATGCCATAAATATGAACATGTCACGTACCAAAAACTAGGCAGCCATCGCGTGTATATCCAAGAATAATTATTCCTTATTTGTACCTTCACATTAGAGGAGCTCATGCTTAGTATAGGGACTGGTGTTTAGGTAGTACTTCTTGATGACAACCCTTCGAAATTTGAAGGTCTAGCAATCACTTTCATTCCCTTGAACACCGGTGCATCTCCATGTTATCATGCTTATGCTTACCAGTGACATCCCTTCATGGGAATGAGCACATAGTCCTGATACCACCCATAAAAGTTTAGTCACATGGTAAGGCATGTTTACAGTAGTTTTTCCTGCAAAAAAGAACACTATGTTAGTCAAAAAACAACATACTATGATCTCCTCCCTAAGGTTCGATCACAATATTCAATATGATCTCCTCTCCTCCTTCTATTTTCTATCTCCATTATCCCTAGTTCTTGGCAGCCCTCACCCTCAAATATGGCATTGCAACTTGTCATTGTTGACAATTTTTTTACCATGTGTGGGCAGTTGTGCAAATTCCTCTGCTTCAATATCCCCCAGTAAAGAGCATAGTTAGCAATATAGTCTGCCAAACTATTGCCCTCTCTCAATATATGCGATATATTAACAGTACACTTCTGCATTACTTTCTTGATCTCCTCCACATGATTAGCAATATTCCAAGGAGAAATCCATAGTCCTTCCAGTACATTCTTCAACAGTAACGAGTCAATTTATAGCATCACTTGGACATATTGGTGTTCAACACAGAATATCAAGGCTTCCAAGATAGCCAATGCCTCTGCCTCATTGTTTATTGTCTCATGTATTTCTTTCCCTCTTGTATAATGTGCATCTCCTTCTTCATCCCTCAACACAAAACCTATGGAACTTCTTCCTGGGTTCCTCGAGATGTTCCATCTATATTTACTTTGATCCACCCTGGGCTAGGAAACTCCCATGTCACCTTAGTCACCTTCAAAGCTGGAGTGTACATCTCCAATTTTTTACTTAAATCTGGCCATTTGTGGGGGATATTTTTCATGCTAGATTTCCTTAATTTAACAAGAGATTGTAAAGTAGTGGAAACTTGGTATATGACTCTACTGATAGTCACCACATCGCCATATTTATAGCTATTTCGTCTTTTCGACAGCTCCCAAATGATGATCGTTGGCAGTGCTTGCAAAATAGGTTGAAATCTTGTTATAGTGTCTTTTTTATAGTTATTCATCGCAGTTATAGCCATATTTATAGCTATTCATCGCAATCATAGTGTCTGTTAATTATTTATAATATAAACTAACTTATATTCCGTTTAGCTCTAGAACTAGATAAATTGATTCTTAATGAACAAAAGAGTTATAAAAGGAATATTCACATAACTGATAAACGTGAAAAAAGATGCAGAAGACCACCAGGAAAATAAAATGACACTAACAAATTAAACTGATCAGTACTTGACAAACTACATACTCTACTTCTGCAATAACTATTTTCCCCTAGCACACGTCTTCGACCTCAATGCAACAGCACAGAACAAGTTAACAGAATACCGAATAATAGAGAGACTCACTCTTCAAGCATCCAATAACTTCGCCTCTGAAAGTTCTCGTTGTCCTCCCCATGGGTATAGTAACTTTGAAGAACATCATTGCTTCCTTCTATATTTCATGTAGTTCTTTCACAGCTTTACCATCCTCCTTTCTCCACTGGTGACCATCTTCACAGAAATATGGTAGTAATTTCCGATCAAATAGATACAAGGAGCCGCCTGGAGGTCTATGTGGATAACTTCACATATTGAAGTCATTGGAGGTTTACATCCCGGTAGGCTCCTTTTCCTTCCCCTAGTAAAAGAATAAGGGGATCTGGTTTTGGTTAAGCGAGCATAGTCTTTGATTTTGAGAGAGTTTCCTGCAAGGGATCATTACCATTTGTGGAATGTACATGGATAGATGTCCTTTTTACTCTTTTAAGTTCTATCGACACTACATATTGTGATGTTTCAATTAGTTAAGTGACCAGGTATAATCCACGTCACTGTCAGTATTTCGTTTCATTGTTGTATTTTTTTGCTTTAAGATCAATCTTGTTCGGCTTAGCTTGTGTGTACCTCTACTAATCCACCAGACAATCTATCCAGCCCACTAGTGCAGGTTGTCAAGATAGCCGTGGTCACCCCTGGTGGAGCAGATGTCTCACACCAAGTGTTGTAGCTGGAATTCGAACTTGTGATCTCCAAGTTGTTACTCCCATGCCTGAACCACTATATTGTCACCTTGTGGATGCTCTATTTGTCTAGAGCATTCAAGTGATTTTCCTCTGGCTTTCCTAGGTTGGACCGTTGGAGCGTAAGTACCTCCAAAATAAAACCATTTATGGTTGTCTCTGTGCCATTGAAGAAAAAAAGATCTTATCTCTTGCTGTAAATACACCAAACACAGTTCCAAAAGTAACTCCAAGACTCCTACTTCTTGTGTTGCACATTCGACAGTATGAGGTGCTACTGTATATTTAGTAATTTCCTCACTCTTCAAGATCTCTTTTGGGGTTGATTATGCCTTGGAAGTTTTGGCTCTAGCAAAGAGAGAAATGTTCTGTAGGGGCTTACCAAAACAAATAAATAAATAAAATTCCTCTAGGTAAATACTCCATGACCAAGTTGTGGTACTATTGGCTTATTAGAAGGCTAGAGTTTTCCTCAGATAATTACATCCTCCTTCATTTGTGGGGCTTAGTACTCATCCATTCCGTTTTACTTGTCCCGTTTACTAAAAATGCTTGTTTCAAAATATTTGTTGTTTCAGGAAAACGGGAGAGAATTGATTCTTTTTTTTAAAAACTTTATCCTTACTCTAATAAATTAGGAGAGAGATTAATGTGCTGAAAGGAATAGTAACAAATTGATATCGAAGAATACAAAGGAGGAAGTTAATGTTTTTCTTTAGGGCTGTGCAAAAGGCAAAAAGCAAGTAAAAGAGAATGGAGGGAGTATATTCTCTAGCTCATATTTTAGTGCAAGGGCTTTTGAAAACAATTCTTGTACTTCATAGATATAGACAATGGTCATTCTTATGGTTGAAATCCTATACTTTCTAGAGAAAAAGATTGAAGGTGGAGATATTAAAAAGATATCCAGTGTTCTTAGTATTGATTTGCTCCTTTGTAGAATTTAACATAGCTACTGCTCTTGATTTGCTTTTACAGACCGATGGAGCACATCGTCCTTGTGCATTATAGAGA